CAAACTTTGCTTGAAGTCTGTAGTGATGCAATCTAAAAATTGGGGAGCGGAAGCTACTCCCGGTGAAGTTCACATATTAGGACTCGTTGTCTCTGTTAAGCTGCACGTTCCCACTAATGCCTTCTTTTGTTGCTTGAGAAGAATAAGCACTCCCTAACCCCAGCGAACGCTTGTCAAGCCAATCGAAACTACGACTTCTGGACAGCAAAGTTTGGGAGGTGATCACGAGTGTCTTTCGAGCCAGCTCGTCCATCTCATGAGAATTCCATATCTCTAGCGTCTAAGATTTCTCCATGGCTCAAAGAGAACGACATATGGTGCACTGGGAGTACTGAAGGTCTATTGCACTTTGAGGGATACTGTTGTCGGGTTGCTTTCAGGAAGCTTGTGCATGTCTTCGATACCTGGGTGTCCAAAACCTGGTTAGTCTTCAGGGCCTGGCGAAGCTTGCTAAACCACTTTCAGCAGATATTTTCCTCTAGGGACCTGGTCTTCCAGATTCACAAGTATTCCGACAAACTCCTCTTCTGAGTGCTCTAGGCGGAGCTTGTAAAATAGGCCGACGAATATGTGTTGGAATGAACAGCTTTATTTCTCCATAAAGACGAGTACTGACGGTGAAACTTCGTAATAAGAAAGGGCACTGAGGTCGTCACCTACTCCTTTGCGGGGAACATCACAAACATTTTTTGGGCAAGATGGCGCGGGTCGAAGAATTCGGCAATTACTTATGACTCAACCTAATCCTTCGTATGCCACACCCCTCCAATTGGGTGCTCCAGATGTTCGTCTGTCGCCATCGAATTCTTGTCGTCTTGGCAGAGAATCAGACGAAGCGTTCTCATTGATGACGACAGAGTCGCTGAACTCAATCAAAGTGGAAATCAAAGCAGAAAAGAAAAGTCCCGTTCTGCACGTTTCAGACCCCTTACTTGGTTTTTCCTTCACTGCTACACCTCCTAAAACTTTTACTTTAATGACTTTGAAAATTTCGTAGGATCTGCTTCTAATGAGGAAATGAGGGCGGGTGGGATGACATCACCAATTTCGGCCAGGACCACTTCCTTTGAAATCGTCTCTCTTTAGCTAAGGATGAAAATGTGCACTGACAAAGGGCTCTGTTGTCATGAATGGAGTCCTACTCAAAGCTATCAATCCCAAAACACTCTCTGGAACATGGACCGGTATCCGATGGCCTCGAAGAAACAAAGTATGCATCTAAAGCTTTTTAAGATTCCGAGTGAGATTTAAGTGCGTGGCGCAACCTACGAGATGTACCATATTCATCTCTGCTGAGTGATAGTTTCAGATTACAATAGTTTAGAGAGATCCGCTTTGCCTTTCAGCTGTATCTTTGCTTTAATAAACGAATGCCTGTTTCACGACTGTCTGCTTCTCTACCAAGATACACACAGATCAACCTGCACGAAGACTCGTCCGCTTGGCAAACGGTCGCATGAAAAACCTTACGTAATAATTGTTGAACCTTGTCGATGCCGTCAAAATTGTTTGTATCAGTTGTATTTTTATGACGTTTCGTTTTCAGAATAAAAAAAACGGAATACCATCCTAAAGCAGGAAGGTCGAAGCGAACAAAAAGCATGAGCTTCCCACAGAAAGAAAAGGGAAAGCGGAACATGTTCATGAGACTTAAGTACACCTCAACCCTATCGCGTCCAAGCTAAATCAAACACAGCTGGATATCGAAACCTTCACTCAAAAACAGGTCGCTCATCATGTGTCTTGCAAGAACACTCGTTGTCTAGAGTTCCATGCAATTATTTATTCGTGTGTCCTAATGACTGATTGATGCAGTTTCGTTTGCACGCGTTAAAATATGAAGCGCACTAAGATGATGTACTTCCATAAAAACTTCGAGTGAGCCTGTCCTGGGGCGCGTATTGGACCAAGGACCTTAGCCAGCGATCATGTGTACGCGGCTATGCACCAGTTTGCCACAACTTTTCTGCTCTTGTCAGTGCTCCCATTCCTTTGCTCATTAGGATTATTTTCTCGCTGATTATCAATAATTTTTTTGGCTGAATGTCTATTCGACGGAATCTTTCGTTTTAGTAATTTCATCCTGTTGCTGGATCTTCGGAGGATTTTCGCCGCTGTTTGACGTCGAATGCTGAACGGGGTGTTATTTATTGCGCTCACAATCGCACCTTACGTCGTGAGCTATCAAGGTCAGCTATCAGCCTTTTTTTTTGATTGAATATGCTATAGTAAAATTTTCCGACGCCGAACACTGAATAACCCGATGAAAATTGCATATCGTTATGCGGGCTAGAATCTGAACCAAGGGAAATCATTATGTCAACTTGGTTATTTGAAACAAGTGCACACTCCACTGTGCGCCTTGAGACGCTGAGCTTAAAGCTTATTTTGTCATCTCCGGAACAATTCACTTAGCGGGCTTATGAATCCGAAAAGTAGCTATAGCCACGCAATGCCACTTTTGCATCACTTGAAGACTCGGTCGCTGCCCCTTACCCGTGTGCGGCGTAGCCTTTCACGGTAGGAACGTGGAAGAAATTCCATGCAGTCACGTAGTCGGCAAAATACGGCACAGTTTTAAGAAGTCAGTAGTGCTGCTCTATCTGAGACTAGCACAGAGGCCAGTCGTGCGGCGAAGAGCAGAGACGCTGAGGCGCGCTGGCTAGTTGTCCTGCCTACTGTGGAAGTTTAGTGTCTAACTAATTAGGTAGTTAGATGACTACGTAACATGCACTTGATTTAAGGCTACAAATTCAGAAATCCGGTGTTTGGTTATGCATATGCATGCGAAATTCCGCATCTTCTACATTTACAACCAAACCTGATGTGCTCACACCTAGAGGAGGGGAAGGAACTCCGTTCCGAGTGGACCAATTCTCACAGAATGAGAAGAGCCCTCCTTCCAGAAGGACTCTTCCTGTTCACTCACTGCCTTCCCTCTTCCAAAATTCCTATCTCGCTAGCTCACAGTCGCTTCCTCGCAACTCTCACAGCAAATACCGTATAATGGCGTATAGCCTCACCTGGCCGACCATTAGAATTTATCTAAATCCTGAGTTGGTATTTGAATTGCAGCGATGGAGGTGCGTTTGAGAACTATATTTGATAGCTGCTTTTCGATTTGATTACTTCCTCGATTTCTCTGATACTTTATACCATTGACCAGGGTGAAAATTGGCCGAGGAAATGGCAACGGCTCCTCGAGGATTCTCGCTCTCTCGCACCCGCGAGCCTTCTGTGCACTCCGCGCATACATTCACTCTCGACACTACTCTCGCTCAGTGATGAGCCATGGTCGAGGAATTCCTCGACCGTTATCCACCCTGTCATTAACTATGCACCACCATTCAAGGGTGGCTCTCTGCTGTGCGAGAGTAGTGCCGAGAGTTAATGTACGCGCGGAGGGTACAGACGGTTCGCAGGTGGCAAGAGTGAATGTCCGAGCGGGAGAGCGTGAAAGGACGGGCAAAAATCCTCGACGCACTGTTGCAGTTTCCTCGGGCGATTCTCACCCTGCCAGCATTTCTAGCAGCACGTCGTCAGCGCAATAATAGGAGTTCGATGCCTCTTGTATAAGTGCATGAGTTCTGGTCAAGGGGAGTTTGGATATCGATTTTCACATCATGGTGATTGAAGTAAGATTCCTTCTCTAGGATTTGAACTAGTGATGGGAACATATATTCTTTTGTGGGCACGAAGTTAGAGCTGCACGGCGGAGCTGAATAATTTTTGGCAAAAGAGTATCTGATTTTTCATGAATTCTTTGAGGGTGGAGTCGAACA